TCATCTTCCTTCCTCACTTAACAAATCGGAATCGGAGCTCCGTTCCACTCCTTGAGACAATCCATCATCGGATCGATAAGTTTACCTTCACACATTGCAGTAAAAACCTTATCAAACTCTTCTCCTGGAGACACAACCTTTTCACCGGTCAACAACTTCGTTCCAAGCTCTTCCCTCACGAATTTGTACAACGGATACGACCTACATTCCTTAATCCTGTTCGGAATCGCTGCAGTTCCATTACCGTAAGCAGCTCTCGCAGCTTCCACTTCCTTTGGAAGCACTATCTTGAGCTCTTGCTCAAAAGCTCCAATCTTTTGAAAGATTGAAGTCACTGCATTCTTCTCTGACTCACCGTTGGATAAAGCGTGATCAACAATGACTTGTCTTAGCTTCTGCATCAGCGGATACGTTGCGCTACAAGGATCGTCCACGTACGTGAAAACTTGTTCGCGATCAACGACTTTAAGCAAGTCTTTCTCGCAGAACCGCGATGGATGTAGCTCACCGTTGATTCCAGTGGTTAAGACTTTCTTAGCAACTTGAGAGACAGTGTTCTTCACAGTTTGTCTCAGATTCTCTTCGAGATGTCTGAGATCAACCGCTTGACATATAGCTACGAGGAACGTCGTCGACATTAGCTTGAGAATGTCAACAGCTTCAGACGTTTTACGAGACGAGATTAGTCCGAGAGAGTTCACATCTTGGTTATGTTGTTCAGCTGATTGAACATGGCTTGTGACTGGATTCGCTAAGTACTGAAGCTCTGAGCAATAAGAAGCCATAGCAATCTCTGCTCCTTTGAATCCATAATCCAAGCTTGGATTATCCGAAGCTGTTAGATTCGAAGGAAGACCATTGTTGTAGAAATCGTTAACAAGCTCAGAGAATTGAGCAAACATGAGCTTCCCAATCGCTGCAATCGCAAGACGAGTGTTATCCATCGAAACTCCGATCGGTGTTCCTTGGAAATTACCACCGTGAATCGCCTTGTTCCGAGAAACATCGATCAACGGATTATCGTTAACGGAGTTGATTTCACGCTCAATCGATTTCGTAGCTTGACGGATTACTTCAATCTGAGGACCTAGCCATTGAGGAGAAGTACGAAGAGCGTAACGATCTTGTTTAGGTTTCTGCAATGGATCCATCTCGTGAAGCTTTTGAGCTAATTTCATGTAAGAGCTTCCGTCGAGTATATGCTCCATTATCGCCGCCGCTTCGATTTGACCTGGGTGATGCTTCAATCGGTGAGTCAGATGATCGGTAAACTCAGGTTTCCCACTCATCACCTCCGCGAAAATCGCCGATAAAACCTCAGCTAAAACCGATTGAACATTCGCTTCGAATAAAACCATCGAAGCCATTCCAGATCCAACCGCCGTGCCGTTAACGAGCGCTAATCCTTCCTTTGGCTGCAGATCGAAGAATCCAGAACTGATTCCGGCTTTCTCGAAAGCTTCTGCGGCGGTTAGGGGTTCGCCGTTAGGACCGATGGCTTTTGAGTTTGGGCGACCGGTGAGAAGTCCGGCGATGTAGGAGAGAGGAACGAGATCGCCGGAAGCGGTTATGGTTCCACGAAGTGGAAGAGAAGGAGTGATGTTGTGATTGAGAAGACTTGTGATCGCTTCGAGGATCTCGAATCTGATACCGGAGTATCCTTGGAGAAGAGTGTTGACTCGTACAAGCATGGCTGCTCTCGTGGCGGATTCCGGTAACGTGTGGCATGTCTCCTTCGTGTTCCCGAATATTCCGGCGTTCAAAAATCTGAAAACAAAACAAACAAACAATTAAATTAATTATTATTAAAAAAACTTAGACCCGACCCGAGTTACCGACACGGCGTGATTCTCATAATCTCATGCAAATGGAATTTTTGTTTTGTCCTCGTGAATATATTCAGTGACAATTAATAAAGCACCAAATAATCTCTGCCATATTAGCTACTAATTTTACTATTTACTCTGATTATAAGTAGGTACCTTTTGAAAAAGAAAAAAAAAATATTAATGTTTTGATCACATTCCTTTCCTTGCTCTAATTAAATTAGACACAATAGTTTGAATAGAATTAATTACCTGATGAGTTCCTTTTGCAATGCGACGCCGTTTTTGGTTCTTCGGTGAGAAGTAGCACCAAAACCGGTGGTAACACCGTAACTGTCGGTGCCTTTTCCCATACTCTCCATAACCCAATCGCTGCTAGCTTTCACACCGGCTCTCGAAGCTTCCGCTAGCTCAACCTTAACTCCACCGTGTACGGTGGAGATCGCCGCAACTTGTCCGATCGTCAGCGATTCACCACCGAGATTCACAACCGGTTTCCTAAACTCATCAACCATCCTTTTCACCTCATCTAAATGACTTCCTTTCATTTGCTCCGCCGCTAAACCCCAGTTCAACGGATCCGCCGCGCACAGTTTCATGGCTTCGGTTTTGCCGTTTTGGTTTAGTGCTGATGATCCGTTAATCTGATCCATTTGGTCGAGTTTTTTTTTTGGTTTTGGTTTTAAATAAGATCAGATGATCTTTGATTTGTTTGGTGAAGCAA